AGTCAGCAGATAGTGATTTTGAAAGTTTGGCAAACCCAGGGCAAAGAGGCTGGCTTTTGCCACCTGTCTATTTCACTTACTCAGTGGTTTTGGGACGCAGAGGAGTGGGTTCCTTCAGGCTCCACTCAATCACTCTGGGCTCACTACCTACTGAGGGTAAACAAGGCACTAACAAAGGGACTTGTGTCTTTATGGACCACACAGTCCAACCTCTTGTGAGAATGGGGGCCAGCCCTCCATGGCCGCACAGAAGCACAGACACCCCCCCCTTCCCCCAACCAAGTGCAGTTTGCATAAATCCCAGACTGCAAAAAGGAGAGGACAGGACTGGTTGCATAATTTGATGGCCTGGTGTAAAATGCAAATGTGGGGCCTCTTATTCAAAAGCTACTAATAATTCAAGACAGCAACACACACACACACAAACCAAACCCGCTGTACTCTAATAGATTCTGATTCAACAAAGATACAGGACAGAGTAGAACTGCCCCATTGGGTTTCCAAGGCTTTAAGTCTTTAGGAAGCTAACCGCCACATCTTACTCCTGCAGAGACTGTTAGGATCTAACTACTGATCTTTTGGTTTTGGTTAGCAGCTGAGTGCTTTAACCACTACACCACCAGAGCTCCTGAAGCAGTGGAACATTAAGTGCAGGACCCTTCTGAGTGTGGAACCCTGTGTGACTGCATAGGTTGTGTGCCCATGAAGCCGGTTCTGGGATGGAAATTTGAGGACATTTCTTCTGTAGAAACCCTGTTAAATGTTTACTTAAAACAAATGGAAACTTGGATGTGAAGAAGCAACCAATGTTATACCACCATTCCCTGTTTAAAAGCCCCCACTGGCTCCCTTGTTGTTGTTGTTATGTGCTGTTGAGTCAGCCCCTACTGATAGGGACCCCTCCTTGGGTTTCCCGAGGCAGTGTCACTACAGAAGTAGGATTGCCCAACCTTCCTTCCGAGGAGTGGCTGGTGGGTTTGAACCAGCAGCCTTCTGGTTAGCAGTTAAGTGCTTTAGCCACTAAGCTACCAGAGATCCCATAGCACTTGCAATAAAATTCAGAGCCCTAAGCTTTCTCTACAGAGCCCTGTATGATTTAGTGTTGCCTACCCCTCCTTCCCATCTTATCTCACTCTCCCTTTACTTCACTAGATTCCCCTCCCCTTGGCCTCATTTCCCTTCCTGAAGCACTGCAAGCTTTTCCTGGCCTCAGTCCTTTGCATGTTCTGTCTTATTTGGAGTGCTGTTTGCCCTGCTCTGTTGTGGATCAGTACCTTGTCATTCTTTAGATCTCAGCTTAGGTATCACTTCCTCAGAGACCTTCAGTGATCACTCTTTCCAGTTACTCTTAATCATATTTATATTCCTCATTGTTAGTTGCCGTCAAGTTGGCTTCCACTCATACAACGTCTTTCATATGACAGAAGGAAACCTTGCCCAGTCCTGCACCATTCCCCATACCATCAACCAGACTTACTGCCATCGAGTTGATTCCGACTTACAGCAACCCCTTTTTGGGTTTCCGAGGCAGTATCTCTTTATGCAAGTAGATTGCTCAATCTTCCACAGAGCGGCTGGTGGGTTTGAACCACCAACCTTTCGGTTAGCAGTCAAATGCCTTAGGCATTACACCACTGGAACTCTTACCATAGCACTCATTAAATCTCCTTGTTTATTATTTGCTTGTCTTTTTTCATCTCTTTTCACCGTAGAGCTCACAACAGAAGGAAGCTTGTGCTATGTTAAGAGTTGTTCTCATCCAGGGGTTCCACTGTTCTCATCTAGAGGTTCCATTAGAAAATTCAGCCTAATACTCCAGGATATCTATGTATGTAATGAATTATCTTCTCTCCTATAAGTATAGGTGTATATATAGATACCTAGAATTCTGCTTGGGAAAACTGAGGAAATAGTCCAAAGAATGCATCTTCTGTGTTGTGGTTCAAGTGAGGAAGCCTGACTGAAAGGCAATGCCTGATAGATCTCAAAAATATTTTTTGAATGAATGAATAAATGAACATCACTCACTAACATTGGGATAAATAATCAAATGTTAATTCAGCCATTCATATTTTACCATCAACTCTAGACCTATTGAACCAGAATTGAGATGGAAAATAAAGAACACGTGTACTTTGAAAAACTTCCATAGAGGATTTTAGTGGGAACATCACTCCTTCAAACGCCTTCCAGTTTCTCCCCCATCTCCATCTTTATCTGGGTGGTCTGTAGGGTCCATTCTGTCTGCAACAGTCTAAAAGAATGACTGCATGCCTAATGCATAGGACTTTTGTCAGAGCACTAGTGCTAATTGCCATCAGTTAAAGGGGCATTAAGGGAAATTTCAGGATCATTTCGTTTATCTGCGGGTAGGAAGATGTCTGGGATAGTAGACATACATAGATAATACCTAAATCAATGAAAAGTTAGCGTGAACTAATAATAATAAAACAGTATAATTCTGGGGCATTTCTATACAGCGTGGAAGTTAGGGTGAGCAAGAGAAGTAGAGGACAAGTTCTAGGCTATATGACACGGGACATGCGTGTTGCTAGAAGCTGGTTTTGGTTCATTGGGATGAGGTATAACAGTGACTGTCCTATGATTTTAGGATTTGAATGTATTATAAAGGCAATTCTACCTTAATGTTCCAGGCTGATCAAGGAACAAAGGAAAGGAAAGAACTAACCAGTCACTCCTCTATGTGTTCAAACACAAAATCTTTAACTAGTGTTTGTTAAGGGCCAGATTGTGCTAGATTCTAGGGCTATAATTGTGAACGAGGCCATTTTGGTCCCTGTACACACAGAGGTTCCTTAGAGGCTAATGAAGAAGACATGTATGTATGTATGTATGTATGTATGTATGTAGTTGAAACAAAGTCCATAAGCATTGTGCCAGGGGATCTAGAGGATGCTACGGAGGCATGCCCCATGTGCATGCTTGCATATGTGTGTGTATGTATATGCTGTATATGTTGGGAGGAAGGCTTTCTAGGGCCTGAAAGATGTGTGAATGTTATCCAGGTGACGGGGTAGATAGGATGGGGTTGGAGAATTGAGAGGCTACAGCAGAGGTTGGTGAGAGATAGCATAGGCCAATAAAGAAACTGAAATTCAATCTTGTGTGTTTATACGTTGAAGGATAAGAAGCCCTTGGAGTGAACTGACAAAATGAGTTGAAGAGTAAGAAGAGACTAAATAATATATGACTTTGGAAAGATCTGTTGAGAATTATGACCTTTCTTTACAGATGGGATTCTTAACTATTTTTTTTGTGTCTTAGACCCCTTTGGGATCCATGATGAAACCTATGGACGCCTTCTCAGGGCAAAGTTTTTAGTTTAGTGGGAAGTGATATCACTAAACAGCTAGTCGGAGAAGGCCCAGTAAAGACCTGCATTACCATCCAGTACACTGCTCATCCTGCCCTCATCACCAGCGTGAAGGGCTGGAACTTCTCCTCATCCTTTAACCCTCTCCCCAGGCTCAGGTTGATTCCTGTGACCAGAGACTATTAGAGCTAGAAAGGACCATAGAGTCCATCTACTCCAACCTCTTCTGGAGATGAAGAATGAGTGGCCCAGAGATGAAATCTCTCGCCCAGGGTCAGAGCTGTTACTCGCTTCTCAGTCCTCATTTCCATGAGATATTTACCCACATGGATGGTGCAAACAGTTAAGCCCTTCACTATTAACGGAAACATTGGTGATTCTAACCTCCCCAGAGGTGCCTTGGAAGAACAGCCTGGCAATCTGCGTTGAAAGGTAGCCTTGAAAACCCTATGGAACACAGCTCGACTATGCGATACATGGGGTCAGTGTGAGTCAGAATCAACAACTGGTTTGGTTTGGGTTTTGGTCTCCTTTCAAATTGCCCTACATACCACCCAGGGGAGAAACTCTGATGGCACAGTGATGAAGTATTTAGCTGCTAAAGAAGAGATAAGTATTTTGGACCCACTAGCTGCTCTGTGGGAGAAAGATGAGGCAATCTGCTTCTTTAAAGATTGACATTTCGGAAACCCTATGGGGCAGTTTTACTCTGTCTTATAGGGTTGCTATGAGTTAGAATTGACTCAATGACAGTGGGTTTGTTTTTTGGTTTTACCATCAAGGGGTGACTCTGGATCCCTCCCTCTATTAGGAGAAGCACCCTTGGTGGTGGCCTCAGCAGGTCTGAACCCCATAGCCTTTCACTGGGGCAGTGTTGACATGGCAGTCAGAAGGCTTTATATTTCATCCCCTGGAAGCTCTGTGCTTGCTGCTTTTGCCACCCTATTGTCACTTCCATCTTGGATCTAACAGTGATGACTCTTACCGACTCCAAACCAAAACCAAACTCACTACCTTCGAGTCAACTCTGACTCATAGTACCCCCCTTTGGGTTTCCGAGGTGGTGGTGGTGGTGGTTGTTATGTGCCATCGAGTCGGACCTGACTCATAGCGACCCCTCCTTGGGTTTCCAAGGCAGTATCACTACGGAAGTAGGATTGCCCAACCTTCCT